TGTTCCATCTCCTAAAGTAAACATTACTGATTTGGTTTGATTTTTGTGTGTGTGTGTGTGGCAAATACAAAGAAGTCAGAAGTTCTCTGCCTAATACCTAGAAATATGTACGGAAGATTTTTTTGACAGTACAGGGCCTGGAAAAAAATGCTGTGTAGCAGTACAGGGTAATTAGTACCAATGGGAACATTTTCCATTTATCACGTTGTGTGTCTGTTCAGTCATATCTGATTTGGGTCTTGCATCGGATGAGACATAAGAAAAGGCTTTACTCATTCTCTTAAAAAATTATCTTTCATTTCTAGAGCAGAAATCATCAGTTGTACTTTAAAGTCTGAGAAAGTTGGATTTGTATTTCTTTTTTCTCTTAAATAGGCAGATACCTGATTACAAGCCCATTTTAACAATATACAGTGCTAGAGCAGACAGTGAAAGAAAAGTATCAAATATATAGAGTTAAACATAACCTCAACTACTGAGTCTTTGTTATCCATGGATGACAGCCTAGTTAATAAATGTTTTCTCACTGGGATGCTGGACTGGAAGTTAATGGTGAAACACATCTACAACATACTCCAGATGCTCAAGACAAGCAGACACATCACAACCATAACAGCAGTGGCATGCACAGAATGTACCTATATGGGGGTTGTGTTAGTCCAGCTTGGGTTTTCCCCTTCACTAGCCCAGGTGCAAACACTATGTAAGCAAAGAAATTTGGGCAGGGAGAAGACTGGTGCATGTTTTGGATATGTTGCTTGCAAATGGTGCTTACTACTGGCAGGGGTTTTTATACAGAAAAGGGAAGAGGGGAAAGATGAAAGAGGAAATATTTTGGCAGAGGCTGTAGTTCAGGCATGCAGAACAGATATCCTAGTCCACATAATCATAAAAGTGTGTCCGCTTGCTAGACTTGCTACGTATCTCTCTCCGGTTAGGTTTCTGTCTTCAAATGTAAACAACATAGTATTGCCTTTAGACTTTGTGAGTCACTAGACCAGAGCCAAAAAGAGTTCAAATATGAAAAATATGTTTTGTTACATTTGCCATTAAAGTAACAGTCTTAGTCTAAGAGAGCCTAAGCCTGAATTGTTTCCATAGTAGTTTTCTCCTCCTTTTCAACATTTGCCCACATTTTGTTAACTGGATTGAGCAAAAAATTAGGGAGAGGGTGGCAGAACTGAACACAAGTAATTTCTTTACTTGCTGTCAGCCCATCCAAAAAAACCTTTACAAAGAAATACAGGAAAATCCATGATTCTCCATTCCTGCACCAGAAAAATTCCTAAAATATATGACCTTGCAATGGTTAAAAGATAGCCAAGAGCCAAAGCTGGGCAATGTTTTTATCCCAGTTCAGCCATGTCATGGGTCATGTGGTTCAGCATGTGAACAGGAAGGTGAGAATGGGTGAACTTTTGCCTCAGTTGTGCAGTCCATCAGAGAATAAATGGAGCAAATCACTCTGCAGCTGTATCGGGAGGTGAACGGCTGAATACCTCTCACACAGAGGCCTTTGTGTTCTGGACATGATCTAGCATTATGATGGGACGCACTAGGCTGAGGCTCTGTAGCAATTACTAACCCATTATCACGCTAGAACATGAGATCATTTATCTTCTAATTCAGAGTGTCACCTGTTCTTCATTTGCCAGTCAATAACCATTAATTACTTTCAGTGGAAATTTAAACAAAGCTTTTCCCCTCTGTTAAAACCAGTAAGCCATTCAGTAATGACAAATAAACCTGGAGCTGTATCTCCCCCTTTCCTCTCATTCTCAGCCCGGAGTCTGGTACAATATGAACTCTTAAAGGAAATGCCTAGACATTGATAGGTCAAGGGCCTTTATTAGTCTGATGTGGGGGGAAGCACATTCCTGGCACTTGCTGTAGGAAAAGCATATAGCTACTGCTTGTATACGGATTTCTCATTGGTTGTCACGGGCTGTACCTGTGGAAATAAAGATTTGAATGCGGAGCTTGTTCAAAGATTTTTCTATCTTCTGGCTTGCCTTTGCATTTTTTTACAGACTGTTCATGCAGACCCATTCAAAGCAACAGCATTTGGTCGCCTTCCTCAAAGCAAAACAGAACTATCGCTTACTTTGTTTGTCATTTTTAGCATGTTCATTTTTTTCATACCTGATTTGATTGAGGTAATTGTAAGTGCCCACAACTGCAAATGCCAGAAAAAATAAAAGAACCAGCAGTGATAGATTCTCAAGTAATCATTAATCTAAACATTCTTTCCTGGTAGGAGTTGAGGCAAAAATTGCTTTTAGCAACTCTATCTGCATTGTTTGATCGTTGCTAAGTTGATCCTGTAGAAATTTAATGCAGTTTAAGTTGTATTTCTAAGATGGTGATTGCTTGCTCTTTGAAATGGTCGACAAGAGTTGATACATCCAAATGCATAAAACTTGGTGGGACCTTGTCGAAGGCTGGGTTTTTGTTAGTATTTTGTAGCTGTCTCCTTCAATGCAGTGCATATTTTAGAGTAAAGAGAAACTTGCAATGCTATTTTATATTAATTCACAAAATTAATGTGTAAATATTTTAAATAGGCACTGGACTGTTGAATGTCTCAGCATAAGCACCCACACTAAAATTGTGTCCAATGAATTACAATACTGAGGTGTTTAAAAGTGGAGGGATGGCAAAAAATTATAGTAAGTTTGATCCTGCTTCTACTTAGACATATTAATACTACTTTACAAAAGTGCATAGTAAATAGCAGGTCCTTATGCTAATATTGCATATTCGGTCAACCTACATGGCATTTGGGGGTGGGGGGTGATTTTTACCAATAATTGAGGTTTGGTTGTCACAATTCTGTCAGATGTAACTGACACTACAGTGTTGTGTACGTTTCAAACAAAGAAAGGCAAGACCTTGAATTCCTTATGTACAGCAAACATCCAATAAGGTCAGGAGGAGAACCGCTATAAATTCTGACTCTGACTGACTGACTGTCTAATCTTGGAAAACCTTATTCACTCAAATAGAGCCTTCTCATATGAGGAAGCTTCTTGTTTTCAGCTGGGCTGCTTAATGAAAGCTGAAGGTCTGTGAAATCAGGGACTAGGCTAGGAGAACCAGAACTATCCATTACTTATTTTAGATATTCCTTTTACCTTTCTGTGAAGCTGCCACTACTGTGAATCCTGCAAGCTTGTCCAGTCGTGAAGAAACAGGAGTTGGTGATTTACGGTGACCTCTCAAATCAGCAGGGAAACCCCAATGTTCCAAGAAAGCTCATACGAGATACACGAGTTAAGACATCTCCTTCCCACAAGAGGCGTTTCATCAGCCGGTTGGGTATTTCTGTGTCATTGGCTAGGATGTTCAACCCTGGAAAGGAAAAATAAAGTTGCTGCCATTGTCCTGCCCAGCAGGTCATATCCCTAAACCACAATTTATGTCAAGGACTTACACAGCAGTTGCCCAAAACCCAGCCTTCCACACACGTTCAAGAAGCAAAAAGGTTCAAAAGGAACATGTTAATAAAATCTTGTCAAAACTTTGGAAGATTCATAAAATAATAACTGGGAAGAAAAATGACTTGCAAATAGAACCATTTAAGTGGAATGTATCGCCTTGCTATGCTGGACACTGATTTATTAAGAAGAGGGGGGGGAAAAATTGAATATTTCAGGTGGTATTTACCAAGAGAAACTGAGCTGTCCCAAAGCTTTTATTAATCTGATTTGCAGAGTATCCACTACCATCAAGGGACCTACTAAAGTTGTTTTCTTTAAAGCTGATGTGAAGAGGTCAATGCAAATAGCGTTGTGGATTACACTGTGAGAAGATGACAGTCCTTTTTACCATATGGAGAGAAAGTTGAATTATTTTGTTTTCCTTTTCTGGTTATTTATTAAATGAGGATCATGCCATACAGGTATTCCCTTTTCCTCTCCAAAGGAAATGAAGTGTTTACATCATTTTGATTGATCTAAAGTAATAATTATTCTGTCCACCTACAGCTCCTAGGCAGTCAAATAGTCCAGTCGCTAGAGCAGTAGCTTGCACATCAGAAAACTGAAATGTACCTGCCGTGATACCTCAGACAAGTCACACGTGTCTTTGCATGCCTCTTTTTCCATCTGCTTTACTGCTTTCAGGCTGACTTAGCTGGCCAGCCCTCTGAGATGGTGCTCATCCATCATTACTTGTTTGTGGGAGGGGACTCTGTGAAAGACATTGCTGTGGGAAGTAAACCTGCTCCCCCGAAATGCAAATATGTTGACAAACCCACGAAGTTTTGCTTCAAAACCTGTTGCCATTTTTGCTGCTGCGCAAACGGTTCTTTGAAAGAGATGTTAACGGTTGTCTCACTTTTCTACCAGTGTTTTCTGTGTTCCTGTGTCAAAAGAAGAAGTTTCTGCTACAGTGCTTTAATACGTAACATTCAGCACATATTCAGCAGGAAAAACAGATTAATTTGGTCAAATACACTGTTGACTATTCTTAGTTACCCTTTTAATTACTTACTCTTAATTAAAATCTCAACTTAGCCAAAACAAATGTGACAGAAGAAAGAGCCAAAAGGACCCATATTTTCATGGTTCAATGTGTTTGACATCATTCTATAACAGACAGACAACAGGACTCTGGACTGAAACATTACAAAATTTTGTTCTTTTCCCCATACCTATGTCAATTCATGCAGTGCTTTAAACAAGTGAATCCATGCTCTTGAAAACTAAACCAAGTCTCAGTGTTCAAAAGTAAACATATTAAAGTCTCCCCTGCAGAAACCCCTGCTGTGAAACAAATTGAAAATCAAATACAGCATTGTTTTCTATAATAAGAAATAATTGAACTCTTTTCAGAGTTGCACTGAACTGGTTAATAGCCACCATGTTAGGAAAGTGCTAATTTCCCCAGCTTGGGGTATGCGTAGTTATTTCCAAATCAAAAATGCAGTAATATAATATCATGTACCAAAGAGGCCACTTTCATGTTCACTGAATCTGACTTTGTTTGTCTTTCCGCAGGCCATGTGGCTGATGTTGCAAACGGATGAGCCCGAGGACTTTGTCATAGCCACTGGGGAGGTCCACAGCGTCCGTGAATTTGTGGAGAAGTCATTTAAGCACATCGGGAAAACCATTGTGTAAGTATGAACGTGAGATAGCAGCCACGGGTTGAACATTTCTAGCCCGTTGTGTTTGCTGTGTTACAGAGTATTGTTTCTCTACATTCTTCTTTTTTTCCCCTCACTTTCTAATTTTGTAGCATGTGAGACCTTCTGGGCTTGAATGACTGCCGCAGTGGATATGTCTAGTGTTGCCCTCTAGATCATAAGAAAAAATGTAGGCTGGTACGTCTTAATTTTTTATTCCAAATCTTCATTTTCTGTTCTCCCATTCATACCCCACCTTGGGGGACAGATGTCCCTCCGAAGATGTTAGTACCAGGGTGCTGTTCATCACCCTGCTGCAAAAGGGGTTTTTTCTGCCTCATTCTCTATTTTGTGCCACCAGAGCCCCACAGTCCCGCTCCCATGCTCTGCGATCTCAAGAGGTGACACCTGCCAACCCTGTTCTTTCCACGTGACAGCCCATCAGCCACACCACAAGGATTATGTAGCAACCCACTCTACATTCCTATTAGCTCTTCTGCTACTAAGCCATAAAAATGTTGAGCAGTGGGTACAGAATGTTTACAATGCATATTCCACATAGTTTGATTGAAAATAAAAAATTCCTTCTCAAGGCCATATAATAAAACCAGGATGGCTTGGTGAGCGCTTTCTGTAATTTATATTTTTATTGTTTATTATTTTTTCAATTTCCCTCCTTCTGTATCTTCTCTGGGCCCCATGCATCAACATACCGATCTCAGCTGGAAAAGGGAGAGGAAAGCCACAGGCTCTTCCATGACGCTAGCGCCAGGGCTGTTCCTCAGGCCATCAAAGTCACTTGTGCAGCTGGTGAACTTTTGACAGGGCCAATAAGTTTTACTTGGGAACAAAAACTTGACAAATTCAATAAATATGCAGAAGTGCACAGATATATACAATATTATTTGAACAGCCAGTGGGTGGCTGGGGAGGTAATAACATTTTCTCCTCAATGAGTTTTTAGTCTGGTTTCAATTTTTGGCATCAACTTCCAGAAAAAATTCTGGTTGGGAAGAGAGAGACTGTATAAATAGAATTTCTAGCCCAAAAGCTCAGGTTTGGGAATAATATTCTCTCCATATTTTTAGCATCTCTTGATAGCGAGATGTCCCTGTATGATCACACATTGTCCCATATGCCTTAACAGTAGTGAGGTTTGACAGGGTAAAGGGGAGGTAGTAGGAGCTCTAGTAATTGCTTTGTTTTTCTTATTTTTTCTCCTTTTTCTATACTTTTGCTTCTTGTGTTTATAAGCTAATTCTCCCTAGTAAGTATTGATATGAATATGCTGTGGATTCTGTTGCTCCATATAAGTAAGAATTCTTGTGATTTTGAGAACTGTTTTCTCCGTCTAGTGTTGTTTGCAAAAGCAAGAATGAATGTTTGGTGAACAACTTTTTTTAAAAAATTTTTATTACCTAAAATTAGAAACTGAAACATATAGGTCAGTACCTAGCTGAATGTCTTTATTTGCAGATGTTCTCAACATTGCAGTTTCTTCTGATGTCAATAAATTTATCCATTAGTTTAAAATTAAACTCCCTGCTTTGGTGTTGGCCTAAGAAGTCTCAGCATATCCCAAGACTGACAAATCAGCATGTATTTTTCAGAAAGCAAATTAAACCCTCGAGAAATCCTAAAGAAAATAACAACAATTACACAAATAAAAGTGAAAGTACTTTTCTTAATAGCTTCTGTTCTAGAGAGGATATTAAAGGCTTACTTTAGATTTAGTTGGTCCTAACACACAACATTCTGTGTCCCTGTTGTTTAATTTTTTGCTCACTTATGTCTCCATATGGTGGACTGCATATCATTCACGTTGGTGATCGCTGCAGTCGGTGTTTGTACTGAATCAATCAGTCACAAGTTTCTCTCTCAGGGAAACTTTACAGCCTGACTCCAAGTGATGAGGTAGAGCAGGTATTTTGTGTGTACAAAGGCATAGTTGCATTTTTTATACTAATCAATAAAAGTAATTTTCAAAAATTGTGTAAGAATCCACATGACATCTAGTGACATGGATTTTTAGGAACCAAAATCGCTTTAGGCTTGGGCTGCTAATCCCCATGGATCTTCTGAAATTTTTCTTCACTGTGAATAAGTAAGTTATTAATTCCTTAAGCCATTTACAGGTGATATATAAATAGCCATACATACAGGGACTGAGGTGACATTTTAGGTGCTAATGATAATTTTGCTGCTGATCATTTTGACAGTGGTGTAATTCTGATCATTTTAGATACAGTCTAGCCAGACAAACCAGACGTTTGTTCCCCCTGCTCCCAGGGTGAGGGTAGTGTCACAACAGACCCACTACTCATCCCGTAGCCATCATTCATCTTTCCAATTGCACTAGAAGTAAAATATTTCTCAGGATTCGGAAAGTTTTGTTAAGAACCTCCATAATTTTTCTAGGTGTCAGCCCGGCCCATGCTTTTGCAGCACACACACGCTCTCTTCTTACCCTTGCTGGCTTCTTGGCCGGCCGGCTGGTAACCTCTCACATTCTTTGAAACCCCCAAGGGCTTTCTACTCCCACCTCCTCCAGTTTGAGTATATCTTCTTCAGGGAGTAGCCTGGCAGCAAAATCCTCCCTTTTAGCAATGGGACCCCACTGGTGAGTCCCATTGATCGATTTCTTTACAATTTATGAGGCACCTAAGAACCAGCACACCAGAGTGCAATTGCTAAATGAGTTCCTGCGAGGATGGCTGCTGTCTTCCTATCTCCCTTCCTCAAAGTTTGGTTGAGTTGTTTGGTTGTTTGGGGGTGTTTCACAGGGCTGCAGGTATTACGAAATTTTGCAATCTCAAAAACTCATCTAGGAAATTTCCAGCAGCCCCTTTCCACTGCTGTAAGTGATGGCACAGCTTCCCAGCGTTGCTGTGCAAAGCTCCTTTCAAAATTGATGGAAAGATGGAGTAAGTGGCCAGGAGGGATGCCGTGGCAAGCAGCAGTTGGCAGAGCTCATAGCACATCTGCGAACACAGGGCACGTGTGCAGGGGCTCTCAACCATCCCTACTTTGTGCTTTGGCAGGGAAAGTTGCAAATGTAACAAAGTCTTAGCTGTCACATCTTGATATTGCAGTAGAGAACAGGAAGAAAAGCAATCCTGGCTGGCCCATCAACCAACTAAAAATATTTCTTTTATTTTTTTAGTTTTTTGTCTTCCTAACAATTCAGATTAACTTACACAGCTGAAAATCCAGGACAGCCTAAAATGTCTTTCCAAAAAGATAACATAATACTCTGTCATAGCCAGTCATTAGCACATGTCAGGACTATGTCTTCTAGCCAAAATAAGAGAGAGAGAGAGAAACTTTGCTACATTTTTGTAACTAATGAAATGTACAGCTGCAATGAGACTGATTCTCTCTCTGAAATTGACTGTAAAGTGTACACAGGGGTTTATCTACCTTGCGTGGTTTTTTCTTCTAACATTTCTTTTTCAAGGGAGAAATCTGAAATTATATTTATATAGTCCTCTGAAGCATTCAAATACAGTCCTTTGTACTAACAGGAAAGCCTCAGAGCTACAAATATTTTCCCCCTGTAAGGATTACACTTTTTTTCTTTTACTTTCCCTTCTACTTATTACTAATTAAGTAGTACTTGGGGGAAACACTTCCCGCCTATAATTTGAACTACAGCAGGATAAACGAAACAGGCAAACGCTTGTCTTGACTAATTTTCTGTCATTAATCTTATTAAATTAGAACAGGATTGCAAAGATAGCCTGAAACCACTACAGCACTCAGAGTTCTTTGCAGAGTGCTACAGAGACTGCTGTCTGCAAATGTGGAAAAAAAAAAAAGAAAAGAAAAAAAAAAAAGAACAAACTGTTCAAGCAGTGGAAAGATTTATTGTGTTTTTTATTAATATAAAAATACATGCACATTTGTTACAGAAATATTCATTGCTTCCAGGATCAGAATGAATTCAGTAAAAAAAAATATTTTACTCTAGTCATTTGGCTCTATGTACAAATTTTGTCTTAACTAACATGCCAGTTGGTCTTATAAAAGATCACCCTAAAAAGGGGAAGTTTGCAGATAAGCTATAAGGTCTAATGAGGTGAACTACTAGCAGAAGTGGAGCAGTGGCCTCTTCAGTGACAGTGAAGGTTGAACTGAGATTGAACTGAGGGAGGAGGGTTTTTCTGGTTGTTTTTTTTTTTTCTTTTTACCTTAAAATGAAAGATTGGGTTACAGAAACACATGAGATTTGAAGGATTGCTGTAAGAATGGAAAGCCAGCAATATATTAGTAATGGTGCTGTGGGGATATGGACGAGGAGCCATCAAAAGCCATCATCAAAACAGCTGCTGTTTCCAGGTCTGGCTTTTGCCCACCAAAACTTGCTGGCTGGCCAGTGCTATGTGTTGTATTTAACAGCTCAGGAAAATCAGAAGCTTCCAGATGAGGAGGAAGGGAACAGAATCTCATACAGAAATTGGAGGCATTTTGAAGAGTGATAGTTGAAACAAACCCAGCCAGGTTGGTGAAGAATGCTGGCCTGGGTGAACCCACATGAGCAAGGGTCCTCACTTAGGACTGCACCACTTTTATCACTGTTGTCGCTGTAGACTATATGTTTTAGGGTGGCATTTAACCCACCTCAGCTGCAGAATTAACTCTTCCAGCTGAGCAGGCTTTTATTACTTTCTTATTGATACAAGGTTTTATCTGTAAGCAGACCTAATAACTGTTTCAGAACTCAAATTAAGGTTTGAAGACTGTAACAATTTAATTATCTGATCATACATCATGGCCTGGGTGAACCCACATGAGCAAGGGTCCTCACTTAGGACTGCACCACTTTTATCACTGTTGTCGCTGTAGACTATATGTTTTAGGGTGGCATTTAACCCACCTCAGCTGCAGAATTAACTCTTCCAGCTGAGCAGGCTTTTATTACTTTCTTATTGATACAAGGTTTTATCTGTAAGCAGACCTAATAACTGTTTCAGAACTCAAATTAAGGTTTGAAGACTGTAACAATTTAATTATCTGATTTCATACATCATAAGAGCTATGAGATTTTCTCCTATAGGAAGACTGGGTGAGAATTGAATGTGGTGTTTCATGGGAAATTCCACATTTTTTTTTCTCCCCCAAATGAAATTAAAATAATGCTCACAAATGCATTTTGGAAAAATATCTGATTTCAGGTCAGCTGGACTGCTTTGTTTCTCTTCTAACCTCCTTTTAAAGAAAGAATAACTTAAAAAGAATTTTTAAAGCCATTCTGAAAATGTCAATGCATATTTTTCAGATATTATTAATATAACTTTGTTTCAGGTTGACAGTAATGGAACTTACTTGAAACTAAAACTTTTCTTTCCAGAATATTTTGATTTTCACAGAAGCATTAATATTTGAGAAAACATTTTCTTCTCAACATTAACTTTCACAATTTGGAATAAAGGGATAAGAGCCTCAAAAGATTTCCAATGAACTGAAAAAAAAAGAAACCAAATAATAGGGAGCCTAGCATGTATTCTTTTTTAAAGTCTTGTAATGTGGGGAGTCACAATTTAGATTTTTGAAACTTGAGCTTGACAATGCTGGGAATATAATAACAACAATACCATTGTTTTAACTGTGTTCCTTTAGTGAACAAACACTGAAGACCTGATTCATCAGAGCATTTGAAAAAATATGTTAAGTACATCCCTCTATAGTAGCATACTTGTTCTTTAGATTTAAGCACAAGATCGTGGTTAAGCAGTCCCTATATCCTTGATTGCTGTGATGCATCAGAGCTGCTGGCAAGGTTGGTGGTTGAGTTGGTGGCAAAGGAACATATGAAGAGTCATATTTAAAGTTTCCCTACAAAAGATTACTTACAAAAGACATTAATGGTCTGTTATATTGTGTCAGTTTTGCTGTTTATAAAGTGCCAGGACAGAATGAAGTGCTTTGGCTTAATTGTGTGTGTAGCAGCAATCAGGCCACAAATCCGAGACGTCTACACAAATGGTATTGTCTACACAAATCGTATTAGCTGTGGAGGAAGAGCAAAATTTTCCTAAAATTTTATTTTTAATTAATTTATTGTTCATTTTCAAATGTGAAAATATTTTCTATTGGCATATATTTGATTTAAAAGGTGTACATGATAGTTTTATTTTCCCTAAAGAGGCTGAGCGTCTGTAGCTACTAGTGGTTTTGAATATTTTTTAAAATGCTGTCAGTTCTGTTTCTATGTAAAGGTCAAGAAAGGAGATGAAATGCATATACTTGTTCAGTTTACCTGTGCTTTTGTGAAAGATTTCATTTTCAGTTGATTTCTTCACCACCTCAAAAATATATGTACTTTGCCTTATTTGCCTCTCAGTTACAGCCATTTGGACCATTTGGTCCATTGCAGTGCTATTCCCACCCCCCAATTATCCTGGCTCTCCTGCATCCTTCCCTGCCCACCTCACACCCCACCGGCTGGGTACCCCAGCTCTTCGTCCTCAGAAAATCCTCTATAGCTGTGGATGTTTTTATAGTTTGAAGCTTGCTGTCTTACTGAATAGTTGTAGAAAATGAAAAATAATTGGAATCTCCAGAGTTGAAGAGGAAAAGGAGAATTCGTCACCACTGATAATAAGTATTACAACAGTAGTGATCTGCAGATATGGAATTAGCCTTAAATTAAATGCAGTCCATTCCACTGTAAATCCAGAGTGTAAAAGCTCTTGAGGTGAAGAACCTTTTAAACAAGTAAACTTGCACATGCATTTGAAATGTGATTAACTTTGTTTTATGGAAATTTCTGAGGTCAGTGATAGTAGTGGTATCCACCAGAGTTGGCAATGACTATCATCATAAGCAATCCCAAAGCACCCATCTCCAAGTGAGGCACTCGACGTGGAAGCATAGATGCAGAGGGCATCAAACCCACTTTGTTGGAAGCAGATGTGTGGTCTCGTGCATCCTTCTCCGGGTGCAGAGCGTTCTGGCGTATGGCTGATGCTGTCAGCCGTGAGAGCAAACCCATCCTTTGCTTCAGTGAGAGGGTGAAGCTCCCCAGTGTGGTGCAGGCAATGGTCTTGCTGTAGAGGCTCGTTGTCTGCAGGCTGTTGGACCAGCGTTTTGTGGAAAGCCTACACTAGGCCAGCAGGTGCCTGCCTAGAAGCCCTGGGCTTTGACACCAGCTTGGGGTTGGGGGGATCCACTCCCCATCCTCTATAAATTTAGCCCAGCCCTGATTAGCCAAACTTTCTTTAGCCAGGGATCCTTTGCATTTCCCTCAAGTTACACAAGGCTGTTTTCTTGCCTTCTTGGGCGTCAGCCCTAAGGAGCAGAAAGCTGGGTAGTCCTTGTGGCTGGAGCTATCTAAAACCACAACAACATGAGGGTTCCCCGTGCCTCTTCCACCATGCTCGTGCTTCAGGATAATCTGGCATTATGTTTTCCAGTTAACAATTCTGACTGCACTTTGACTATAAATTAAGGAAGGTTTTGGTGGGTTTTTTTCCTTTCCTTGTGGTTAGAGGAAGAGGGGAGAGCGAGTTGATTAGCAAAATGGATGTCTTGCTCCTGGTGTCAGGCTGGCCCCCGCGCAATCCCTTTTATCAGCAGTATGGTGTCCCCAGCTGCGAGCGCCGGGGTGCCAGGAGTAATTAGAAGTGCGGCTATCAGATGCTACTTTGTTCACAATGAGAAGTACTTTTTTTCCTTGTGAACTTTTCACATTACTGGGCTGAACAAAACGGGTGGAGATTTCTTCTTAAGCTATTTCTATTGTTATATAACTTTGATAGCGACATTAAGTGAGTCTTTACTGGTTGGCCGAGCCTTCTGGAGCCTGTTGGGTGTTAAATGGGGTTCTCTGCTCAGTGACCTCCAACAACAACTGACGTCTCCTGATCTAAGCGCTTCCTGTTGTTTTACTAGTGACGGTTAGTTTTCTATTAAGCTCATTTGAGTCCTGCACATTTTTACCCTCTGCCCTTTAAAGGGAGGGACTAATGTTAGTTTTGGCTTCTGAATGAAAACTTTGCAGTTCAGGCTACAAACAGAGCAACTGCGAAAAAGAAAGAAAGAAAATTTAACTTATAAATAATCTTTAGCATCATGGCATGACTATTAACAGCTGACTTCACTGTCGCTTTTATCTGTTGGAAATTATTTCAGCGTAAAGTGTTCCTAGTATCAAGCATCCTACAGGCTTTGCTAATCATCCAAAAGTCATGAGTTGTGCTTAAAAAATTGTGGGATTTAAAAACTAGTAATAATGCGTATTTGGTATTTCCTTCTGCCTTTCGGTGTTTTAACCTTCATGGGTACACAGAGGTCACATTTTCAGACTTTCCTCCTTAGCCCTCAGGGCCAGAAACTCAAAAATGAAGGCTGAGATTGTCAAAGAATTAAATTCTTCTAGGAGCTTCGGGGAGGGGGGGGGCAGGGGAGCAAGGAGAAATCAAATCTGTGACAAAATCCCAAGAGCTGGCAGTACAATTAGTAAGTGGGAGGCAAGGGGTGCTTTTCTTTCATTGCTGGTGACTGAGGCTAAATAGTCTAAATCACAGTGCTGATTTAAATTACATAATTTTACTTAAACAAAAAAAGTAAAGGATTTCATCACTACACTTTTACGCCAAGCTGGTTCAGAGGCCCACGATATATACTTAGAGGCAAAAAGCAAAGAGAGGATAGAGTTTCAGTCGTAACTCTGGATTTTGTACATTCAGTGGGTTAGGTTTGATGCACCAGTGTACGTTCCTACATGTGTCATCTGAAGCATTTGTTCTGAGAGGGAGCATTGTCCTCAGGCTTCCAGGCTGCAGGCTGGCCTCTCCAAAGGCAGAGCTAGTCACCCACCAAACCGTTCCTCTTCTGCTGCTCCCGAAATTTTACACCGGAACAGTTGCTAACAAAATAGTTCACGGCACAACCAGATCACATAAATTACAGCAAATTGCAGGCTGTTCAACACATATGAAACTAATTTGGACAAAGTAGCTGGCTTTCAGCTCACAGGTAGTAAGTACTGTTTACAGTACATGTATGTAAAGTGCCATGTCGAGCTAGGACTGAAAACTCAAGAACTGTTTTTGTTTTGGTTTTCCTAGTTAAGCACAAATTAAATTATGCAGCTTAATGCTATTCAAACAGACCTTCACGTCCATAAAATTAACAGATTAAAGAGTTCCTGAAAGTATTGGCCAAAATACAAGAATTAAAAATATTTTAAGAAAACAACTTTGAACCAATCCATAAATGAAAAACCTCACTGTCATATTTATTTGCAGATACATGAGACATTCTGAAATCAGGACATTTTATTTTCCCCTAGCATTATGTGTTTAATTTGGAAGTCCTGTATTTTAGACCTTCCACTGAATCAAAAACCAAAACAAAGAGACTTCAAAAGCCATTGTTGCTCCATTCAAGTCTAAACTCTGCCTTTGTTCCTATAGCTAATGAGTTTATACTGTCCTGCAGGGAGAATTGACACCAGCCTCAAGTAAATGAAAGCAGGCCAAATGTTGGTAAGATCGGAGCACTAAAGTAATTATGGGTTGATTAAATGTTTATCTTCTTAACAGGTGGGAAGGGAAGAATGAAAATGAAGTAGGACGATGCAAAGAGACTGGCAAGATTCATGTGACAGTCAATCACAAGTACTACAGGCCAACTGAAGTGGTAAGAAAATGCCCTCTCCTAGCTTTGCAAATGAATAATCCAATCACTCAGCCAATAAATTGCTGCATTTGGCCAGCAGTCTGTGAAAACGGCTTAATTGCGCTCCTGCTGCCAGCTTTTAGAGCTCTAAATTAGCCTGCTTGTTGGCCCCCTCACAGCCAGCTACCTGGGAACAAGCAGGCAGGCAGCACTGCCCAGGAGGAGCGGGTTTGCCCTGTCACAGAGACGCTACTCTGCTTTGGTCACCCTCTCTGAATGGGAGAGGGGATGCTTGGGGGGGGTGAAACATTGCCTTAGGGGAGACAAAACAAAGTGTAAAACAACTTGTTCCTTCTGGTCTCGAATGGGTATGTGGTCATCTCTCCTCCAGCTGCAAGAAGGGAAAGCAGAGGAAGGTGGGCAATAATAGGCTTGATTTTTAAAGTACCTCCTTCTGTGTCCTCATGACAGGTTTCAACTCCATTCAGTGAGTATTCCCTGTTCAGCTTAATCTTTGTAACTGTGGGTACCACAAAATGCCCATTTTAGAAGTGCATGTGTGCTTTGTTTTCTTGGGTGCTTTGCAGGGTCCCGCTCAGTAAACGCTCATTTGCAGAACACGTCTTTACTCCCAGGAATGCCTCAGTGAAGTCTGCCAGGAGTGCTGAACCAGCACACGCTGCCGGCAGGACCGAGCCACTAACCCCTGTGCTCAAATCGCGTAATAAGCATGCTGGGAGAGGAAAAAAAACCAACAATATTTCCAAGTCAGGCAGGACGGTGGCAATGCATAGAGATGGTACAGGTCAGACAAGTGATGTGGTACCAAGACCATCTGATAAACTGAGGCCAAGCAGCACATGCAGAACTTCATACTACACTTCCATGGTTTGGGAAGGGAAACTCACATAGGAAATGAAATCCAATATTCAATATACACATCTCTTGTGCCTTCTGGCTAGATGTCTGCAGCATTTTCAAAGTGGGCGTGCCCCACGTTTGGGGACATGCTGCCTTACAGCTCCTCTTCCAACTCTGGAACAAAGGTGAGCAGAGCGAGCAACCAATTCAGCTGTAATTGGTGACTTTCATTTATTCCTCAGGACAGCATGGCCACTGTTACCTGCCTGCATCTAATGACAGCCCTGCTTCATAGAGGCAGGGAATTGAAGGGGTAAAAGATGAGAGACAGCTGCTCCTGCAGAGTAGTAGGTGGAGAGGAAATGAAGGAGCAGAAATGGTATGGACAGTGAAGCAAGAAGGAGGAATTAACAAGGAGACCAAACTGCAGTTCCAGTTTTGGTCTCTAGACACAGGGAACAGTAGCCCCAGTTGTGCGATGTGGGAGTGGGTGTGCCCAGGAGAGGACGTTCTCGTCTCCTGGGGAGGGTGATACCAGCCCTGCCGGCTGCTGACACAGCATCGGCTGTCAGTCCGTCTGTTCAGAAGTACTGGCTTCAGCTGCCTGATTCAAGCAAGGTGTGACGAGAGCACGTTTGTCTTGACACGGATTGCAGGGTGGGAGTGGGGAGCTGCATGTGTGGAAGTGGACATGGGTTCTAAAGTGGAAATTCAGAGGGGAATAGAGACTTTCATGTTATGCAAAAAAGGGCTGGGCCCGTGTATCAGAATCAAACGCTAGGAAGGCATTAAGAGCTGTCCATCATTCTGTGCTTTGGTAAGGTGTCAGGATGATAAGGAGGACACAGAGACAAAAGAACTTGCCAAACAGGAAAAGGACACTTGACCCAACAAGTCTGCGCTTTGTGAGACCCACTTTCTTGCTTTGTCATACCTCTTACTGACAAGTATATATTCACTCCTCAAAATTCACAGGTAGTATGTAGCTATTCTGAAGCCCTCACTGTAGTTCCACCTTATTCATGTGCTCGGACATTTTCTGCTGAAATAGAGGTGCCCATGGTCTCCTCTCTGTCCTTATTGGTCTCCTTTTGGGAACACAATTTCTGGATTTTAAATTCAGCTCACTATACACTTGTCCATTTTGGGACAGTGCATAAGCACAGGTCCCTCAGGAATGCTCATGCAATTCCTAGTCCATACATGAGTATAGGGATGTATTCAAATGCAGAGTGGAATGCGGCCTTTAAATAGCACTGCGTATAAAATCAGTAGACATCTGATGTTTATCTAACTTATCTGGTCTGTCGTAGGCCACCTTCCCTTGGGCTCCATCTCTCTCTTCCACTGCCCTCATCTTGCCTTGCGTTTAACACAGTCCCTACTTGGTTCCTGTGGAACCCAAGAAGGCTGTGAAGCTGCTCAAGCATCATCAAGGTAGAAGCACAAAACAGGTTTTCAAGTACCTTTGTCTTAAGGAATATGCAGATGAACTGTGAGCAAACTTCTCTATGAAGAGATGTGACATCCACTTCCTGCAATCAAAGTTTCCTTTTTAGAGCATCTCAGGATGGGTACCCAGAATCACTTTCATTTTTTTTAATTCTGATTTTATTTCCGTTCCTTATCAAAGGCAGGCAAACTTCTGTGTGTTTCAGTCAGGGAATCACATCTGTGCAATTCCAAAATGCCAGACCAAAATCCAGTCCATCGCGAGAAAGCCAGGAAAAGCAATGAGAGAACTGAAACGGACTGATGGCACTTGTCCCCTCCTGCCACCCTCACCAAGACTGCTGAAGGCAAGAAAGGCTCGGGCTGACATTTTGGAAGGAGGCTTAGCCAGATCAGTTAACAGGAATTCTGCTGTTGAATCCCGGCTGACACAGAAAATCTGATGCTCAGATTCTCATGTCTTATTTGGAAACATTTCTGTCTGTCTGTCTCTCTAAAATTTAACATGGTATTCTGGAAAGTGAAAATAAATATCATTTAATCTTGTGTACAGTCAGTTCTGACAGTGCCAATACATTCATTTGAAAACACATTTGTTTTCTTCAGTTAGTGATCCCTGGGGTCAAGGCCTCCCATTGAAAAGATTAGCTGTACTGAAGAAGAAACCTTGAAATGTGAGACTGTCTTCTGGTCAAACTAAGTAGATCCTTTGAATGCCTTGACTCTAAATCTCTTCACTCTGCTTTTGACTGCTTTGGGGCCCCCTGATATTTACTGGCCTTGGGAATTGTTCCTGCTAATGCTTCTAATGCCTGTCTCTCTCCTTCCCTCCTTGCATCTTGCCAACTACAAACCTGTCGGTATCATTTCTTTTGGCTTGTATCAAATTCCTATCAGTATCTTTTCTGACCCTTTTTTAATTGTATTTGGAGACTCTAACTTGCTGCAAGGATTGGGGAAAAATGATTACTTCTGCCTTTCTTAAAATCAGCAGTTTTCACAGGAGCTTCATGACAAGTGTGCTTTTTATACTGTACTCGATACACTGAAAGATGCTTTCACGCATTTTGCAGACTTTTAGCACATGGCTAGTAAGGTCATACTTTATACTCATTTGCTGCCCTAGGCATGTAAAGATAAGTTTCCACTACAGTTTACTCACCTGTAAAATGTAGATACTTCAGAAATTATCTCACTAGTCTTTTCTACTTTTGTTACAATCAGAATGTTCATATTGTAGGTAGGCAACTTAGTCTATACTTGGATTTAAATAATCTGTTTGGTATTCACAAAAATAATATTAAAATTATATTTCTTTTAAAAGTTAAAACTGAAAATCAATGAGCCACCTCAGTCAGCTGGAAACAAGCAGCTCTGCAGCACAGGATGTCGGAAGCATCAGGTCTCTCAGCCTCTGAAGTTGGGTAATTTTTAGAGAACTAGGGCCTGTCTTTAATTTTCTTATCTTTCAGCAAGATAATTACTATTAATTTGTATGCAGAAATTTCCCTCCAAGAATTGCACAATTGCTTCTAATCAAATTATGCCCGTTAAGGTGTTTGAGTAAAATCGCCTCTATTCTTTTTGCATGGCAGATATTAAGCTAACAGTTCTGTAGGAGCTTGCTTCATTTCATTGCCCTTTCCTGCAACAATGAAGACTAACTCCAGGTCTCACTGGCCTGGCCTGTCATCACAGAACTTAAGATGGATATATCTCTCAGCTAGGAGTTTATGTTACTTTTTAAAAGGGAAAGAAAAGAAACCCTTCAACCACAGGTAAATCTTGTTTTTTCTCTGAATCTAATGCTCTGCATGTGTTACAGGGAATTCTTCCCCTTCCCTCCCACCCGTTTCTGCAGTTGTCCTACAGCTTGCCTGGGATAGGAACTGCAGGTTGTATTCATGCATCACATTTGTTATGGGCTGGCATGGCTGTAACTCTGAGGATGTACATACATCAATGCAAATTTCCTTCCTTCAAGCAAGCCCTGGAAACTCTGTCACAATGTGATGCTAATATTTAAGTAGTCATCTGGCCTCTTATTATTCTTCTTCAAAGAAAAAAGGGCATGCTAACTTGCTAACTTCTTCCTTTTGTTATATGCCTTAAGCAATTAAGCATTTTTCTCCCAGTCCTTTGTAGCACTGATATAAACAAAACTCCATGTAATGGTTAAGGAGAAAAAGTTCATGGCAGTGTCGAAAGATACTTCATCCTCCCGGAATTATTTCTTTAAAACTGCTCTTTCTAACTCCTAAGAAGTTCTGTATCCCTCCTTACCAGGTTGCTTACTTTTCAAAGGATTGTTTATTGTATCTAAATATCTACAGGTATATATATAAAAAGAAATTTCCCAAGTCTTCTATGTGTTGCTTACACTAAACTTTACATCTTTATTTAACTGCATTTGGCCTCAGTTGCCCTTTTTCCTCCTTGGAATTAAGCAGGACGGCTTTAAATTTCAGTCTTTTCAGATGTTTTTTAAAAATTCAGCTCTATGTTTCCCATGTTTCATAGGATTCCAGTAAAAATTCCTTGGGGCATATCACATTCTCCCAAAGTCAGCTTTCTTAAAGTCAAAAACATTTCTGAAGTCCTCTAAGTGTTCCTGCCCAAAAGAGCATTTGGAGTCTAATGAAACCATGATCACAAACCCCTAAATGCCCCGCACTTCCACTTTAGTTTTCATACAAGCTTCATTTCCT